GTAGCGGTTCGATTTTTGATAATACATGCAGCCAGTTTTGTATTAATTCAGGGATCAAAGCTAGAATGAGTGAGCATAACCGATCTCCTGCTAGAATTATAGGCATCCAGACAGATCCTAACATATTGTTTGGTATACGTGTCATATCTAGATTCCAGATGAAACCAGATCATACTATGAAGAAGAAATTGAGCCACAATATAATGTAATTGAAATACATGATATACCATAAGATACGTCGTGTTGTTCGACAACAGTAGAAGCAAATTCTTCGTGGCTGATCGTCATCACGAAACATTGCCCATCGAACAAAGCGAACAAATTTGACAACTAAATAACGAAGAGCATAATGTCAAGTAATAAGAGATGTCACCGTTGTGATTAGATGGGACATTTCAAAATAATAATAGATACATTTGATAGAACTCTGAGTAACATTTAATTGACATGGATCTCTATTATTTTCACATTGAAGTACTTCATATGGATAGTAAAACTAGTAACAATCATTTACTAGTTCACTTCGTCGAACAAATAAAGTTTTGATCGTAATGAGCATGAGTACTTGTACGTGAGTAGCAATAATAGGTAATATTAATCGATTAGGATTAGGAATGTGAGATTGACGCTTATCGTATCGATAACATGTCATAGTTTTCTGACCGAAACAAACTTGATTCGATCCAAATTTTCTATCAGAATTGGCTTCAGTCATATTACCAAGCAGATGACCGATGCGCTTATTCTTCCAACATATTTGTATTATACTTAGAATAAGTACAATCAAATAAACACCAAGTACAATTTTCTGACTGACTAATTCGAGTATTTGAACTGTCGAATGAAAGATGTGTGCATTCAACTCAATGCTAAAACTATCGTTTGATACGAAAACACCTACCTATTGGTGCTATGAAAATCTACTGAATCTACTTTGAATAATGATAAACAATTCAGCATCAATGTATATGCATAAAGCACGTGATTTTTATTTTATATTCTCAAATAACATGCATACGTGTTATTTGCAGATAAAAATTTGTCACGTTACTAAACAATAAATATGACGTGTTGTATACAAAATATCAGATATGTTAACTTCGTCACTACCCAGGACGAACATTACGACAGTCGTAGAATATCATTAGAAATGAGCAGTGCAATGATTGTATCCGAATTGATCTTTTGTTTGATATGAATTGAAGAACGAGAAACACATGACTTGAATAGTATTACTCGATCATATTTATCCATAGTAAGATGAATATCATTCATCGATTGGTTTTCTTACGGCGAGCCTTTCGCATTTGTTTCTATGGTTTTTGAGTATTTTCATCAAGAAAGATAAGTTTTATGTAGAGAACATTCAGATACGTATTCGAAAAATTCATTAGCTTGATGAAGTTCGTACTAAGAAGAACATTTCAAATAGTAACATTGTGTATAATCTATCTAAGAGAAGTTTCGCTTGATCGACTATATGAGGGTGTGAGCGGCGATCTTCTCCACACCCACACCCTTTTAGGACTGAGCTAGGCGAGACTCATGGAGTCGACGCGTTGCTTGTTATAACATAGTCCTCAGGATACCACTGTTTCATTAACACTTTCAAGGCTATTCGGTTTTCTCAGAAAATAGCTTTAACAGATGCATTTTCATGTTCATTCACCTTTCGATAAATGCACTCGTTGATTTTTTCAGTGTATGCTGTCAGTTGTTTTTCTCTTTCTTATATATATTGCACAGTAGGAACAGGATAACGAAACGAAATTTCGATTTATTAAAAGTCAGATTTTCTTCAATTAATATTCTTGCTTCAATTATTGTCATCGATGAAACCATGGTACCATAGACATACAACTACTCTTAAGCAATAAAAACTCGTTTCCGAGCAGTAAAGTTAACGTGTCCACCTGCCATATAAAAATCGTTCACTGCTTAATGTTGTTATAATGTGCTGAAAGTCTCAATCAAATCAAATGTTTCGATCTCGGATAACAAGATTCTATTTGAATCACATGATTTTTATCAAGACCTGAAGAACCCTAGGTTTTTTTAAAGAGTCTTATATATCGAGATCAAAAAAAATACATTTGATTGTTCACGATATACCTTGATATAAGTCAAAAAATTAGCAAAATAGATATAACTCGAGAAGAAAGATCCAACAATATGATCCATTTCAGACTAACTCTAGTTCTGATCGATCCTATCTAATAACGAAAGTCTCGTTTCAAAGAATTTTATTTCATTCAAAACAATTTCTTCTTGTGATTACCAATCAATGAGTAGTGTCATAAAAGCAAAATTTTATTTCGTTAAAATTGACATAAAAGTTATACACATCAAAATTCAAAGTAAAATCTGTGAATGTCGAAATTTTTCGCTGATTATAATTGATTTATAATAGTATTTCCAGATTTTAATCAATTTTATTAGAACCTATTTTTCACTGGAATTGAACATTCATCATCAAACTACAAGGCTATTAAGGTATTAAAAAATAGGTTTAAATAATATACACAATACCAAGAAGCAAATTGTTTATAGTTTGTTGATGATCTTATTCAACATAAGTTATTGTTTGATAAAATTAAAAGATGAATAGATAGTCGTTTATCAACAAGAAGAACATTGATTATTGATACTGAGCAATCACGTCATTATACATTGAGTCATTGGTTTTAAACTTTTGGATGTTCTACCAAAAAGTTCTCTTAGTAGTTTATTGAATTGATATTCGAAATTTTTCATCGCCGTTCTAGTCGAATAAGATGTATTAAGTAAATAAAATGCTACTGGACTTTGTTCTTGATGTTATTTTTTTCAATCTTTTATTATATCTATCATACACGAATACATATTCATGAAGATTCTTATAACTAGATTGATGATACAGTAGAAGAAATAATAGTGCACTAAAGTCTTCAAGAAAACAATTATAAACATCTTCATCATCGAAAGCATATTCTTTAAATGCAATTTCAATGCAAAATTTTTCAACTAAAAAAAATATCATTATCTGATCTGTATCGTACTGTTCGAAGTAAAACTGTTCGTATACGCTTTTTGTTTTTTTTTCCATTCGATAATATCTTAAATCTCGTGATGTAGAAGACGAATTAACATCAAGATTTGGGTAGTAATTAAAAAACATTTGGAGAATCCCATTGTTATGACCTGAGATCAACATTTATAAATAGTAGATCCAATTGAAGTCATATTAGAGCTAGCAACACCCAAAACGATAGTTTATTTTTGATGAAGCCGTGAGAAGCAGTAGGACTGATTATTTAGAAAAAGATAACCGTTTTGGGAGGAGAGTGTGAGTGTCAGTCGTCTGTTTATCCCATATCTCACATCCTCCAGTTCATACCCATGATTATTATGACAACTTGAAAATTTATTAAATAATTCTAAGAAAAGGGTTTGGATATGGGTGTGCGTCTTCTCTAACTCCATAACTTTACCAACACCCACACACATCCATCTGTCGATTTTATTCCTCCTCATCGGTGCTATTGACGAACCCAGTATCGTCCACTGCAACAGCAAAAGCATGCAGCAAAATGAAAACTATTAAAATGATTGCATATACACTATGCCCGATATTAAACTGAGCGATTAGTATCTGTTGGCTATTCAAAGAAATATTTTTGTTGATTATAGAAAGTTAATTGATACTTTTTCAATTCAGGATTAGAACAGTCGAATACTGTTGAAATAATTATTATTTGCTTATTCTCATTTTTTGGTAATACTATTGTTTCATTTAATAAAAGAACAAATAAATGGCTTTATGTCACTCTTTAAGAACTAGGAAGTTCAGAGACTGAATTTATCTTTAAAAAAATCAAATTATTGTGGAATGATTTGTCAAAGTTGGTGGAACATTGTCCTTCCACTCATGATTTTCTGGTTACGTCACTAGACTAATGATGTACATACAGATAAAAGAACATAAAAATGTTGTCGTCAGAAGACTTTCTTTGTTTTGAGCAAAGTATTGGTTGTCAATATAGGTTTTACTCATGCTTTCTTTCTTTCTTTTTCTGTTCTGTTCTCTAGGTAATAATGAATCATAATGGAAAAAATGAACTGCAAGACGTTATTGCAGGAATGTATGTAAATTTGCGAATGATTCGACCAATATAAAACTTTTGATTAAACAGACATCTACGGAATATCAATAGTAAATGAAGAAGCTACTCGAGGATGCATCTTGCAGTTGCTAAAAAACCGCCATATTGATATCTACGAGCAGATGTCCCTTATGTATTATATTCAACTTCAGAAGACTTTTCAAGTTCTTCATCGAATAACGTTCTTTGAATATATTGCAAAGAATAGGTGTCATCAGGTACTTAGCACACAGCGATGAAAGATGCCGCTTTGACCTTGAAACATGCAAAGTTTTTGCAGACTGTACTAAAACAATTTTCTCTATTCAACATCAATGAATTTTCTAATTAAAACAGCCTGTCGTAAAAAAACTGATATATTTAAAAAAAAAACAAAGTTGAACAAGTATTGTGATATTTTGTCTTTGTACATTAAGTAGTTACTTGTTAATCTTAGAAAAAATGAAATCAATGATTGAAGATCATATTTGTAATACTGATCAAATCGGTTGAAAATTCAATGTTTCAACTTTTATTACAAAAAAAACTTCGGCTGAATTTTAATCAAAATAGAGAGTACATGTTTGCAATGCAGGCTCACAACTATGCATCTTTTCACAATGTGTTTGGTAGATTGATTGATGGTAGGTAAACAAGAGAAAGAGAAAAACTTGAATTTTTCTCTTTCTTATGTGACGGTACATATACATTCGAAGGAAAAGAAATGTGAAGAAAGAGTTGCAATACACGTTTTGAAATAAAAGAAGGTATTTTACTGTTGATGGTATTTATAGTATATAGTATATTATGATTTATACTCGGATGCATCAATAAAGCAATATTATCATCGTTTATGAAAATCGTCGAAAAAAAAATACAATGAACAGTTCTGAACGTGACATCATTGATTTTCATCATTCTCGACCATGGCGACCAATCGTTAGACGAAGTGCAATTTTTATTAGTATTATATTTGCTTTAGTTTTCTATCATCTTTTGTTTTCATTTCAAAATTTGAATGCAGTTGTATTACCATCACGTGAATTTATCTTAGGTACACCGAGAACTGTTGATTCATCACTGACGATTACTTCATTACAAAACACTACTAGTCATGTATCTACTGAATTTGAATTACCTATTTTGTGCATTTTCGGAGTTCGTTCATCAGATGGAGCATTTGGAAATCGAATGTTTCTCTTTGCCAGTGCCTTTGGATTGGCTCGTATTCATGCATGTCATTTGTATATATCTTCGAAGATTATTTTTGACCTTCAATCAACATTTAAATTAAATCTAAATCAAACATCAGTAAAGTTATTGAAAAATCTAGCAGAATTCGAAAATCGAACCGATATTTTTCAACGATATAGTGCATGCACATTATTCGATGATCTATTCAAAATACCATTAAATCCAAATTTTACTCGATACGAACTTATTGGTTTTTATCAAGCTTTCGGCTATTTCGATCGATTTCGTCAGGAAGTTGCTCAATTGTTTGAATTTAATAGTCAAACAATCAAATATATCATACCATTTGTTGAACAACTTATTCAATGTAAGTTATATGATATGATTTTGATATTTAGTGACATTTTTATTAGTGACACTCGTCATTAGGACCAGACCTATTGAATTATTCGAAGAAAAATAATCCTCAAATTCTTAATTAAAATTTTTTTTATCCGCACAAGAATGAACTTTTCTTGAAAGATACTAACATCTTTCAAATCTACTGATAGTTTTTGTTGATATCTATTTTCACATACAATTACTACAATCTGCATCATAACATATTCTAACGTGACTGCTTCGAGTTCAATTTCGATACTGAAGCCGACCAGGGTTGGACTCGAACTTGAGATCGAAACAAGTTGGTTGTGTCGAGAGCGGGCTTCAGATTTTGAAATGGGTCGGAATCGTAGCGGAAGAGTCGACCTGTCAGGTTCTACTTTCAAAACACTGCAATATCGACTGGTCAGTTTTTTCTGAAAATATCAACAAATATAAAATAGATCAGTGTATTTGAATGATTATTCGAGTTTAATTTATATAATCATTATAATGAGTTATCAATAATTTGAGAATAAATATTTTTCTTTTGTCAGACATTGTCATGACCATATATTGTGTTTTCTTTACTATTGAGTTTGTTCAAATTTTCTACGTCTATTTTTTATCCCAGTATTCTCAGATGAAAATATTGTCATTAAATATACATTTTTACATCTACAATACGATTCCATGTCATAACATATCTCATATTAGTACCAATTTAAAAACTCATTCGCTACAAATTTTTATGAAAATTTGAGTTTCTATAACCTCATTATTTTTATTCTCTTTTCGGCCATTACCATGGATAGCAGGGACATACCGAAGAGTGAGAAACTAAGGTGGCTCTAGTCCCCTAAAAGAAAATTCGCCTTAGGAAAATTTTGTTTTTTCTAATGCTAAATCTCCTTCTCAGAAAGTTCAGTCTTCCTCTCAAAAAATTTCCGTATACGTGCCTGATGGACAGATTTCGAAACTCGGTTCTTTGGTAATATTCACGATTTATTTCAGTAAAAAGAGCAAATGATCAAAAGGAATAACAACTTGAGATTTACCATCCTCTCGAGATGAACGAATTCAGATTTTTTTTTAACATTATGCATGTAACTAGCTGTACCCTCATGGAAATTGTACAATTGCTTTTTTAAAGACTATCCTTTAATTGTCATAGACCAGAGGTAGGCCGAGTACTTGACTTGTACTTGAACTAAATAGGCTCTATTTTTTTTATAAGCAACTTTTGTAACACATGTATCGGACTCATTCGATGCAGGTTTTTGAGCGTTTATGTCATCCTTCTGGCTTCGACTTTTCTATAATTGAAAAAACTGAAATAAGAAAGAAAGTACTTGTACTTGGCAAGTACAAATAGTTTTCGCATTTGTTTGTGCATTTTAAATATAGAAAAGTTGAAGTCAGAAAGAAATAGATAAACACCTACACCCTTATGTTCTATTCAACAGCTCTGTGCATGAGATATTCTTCTTTCTCTTTGATGATCAGAGAGCAGAAGATTCGTTCATTCGATTATCATATTAAGAAATATAAACTAAGCTTCAGACATCCCATCAGCTTTTGGTCTTTATCTGTTAAACCGTGATCTTTGATCCGGTAACAAATACATAGACATTCTATATTATGTATATCGGTTTATTGAAAAAAGAAGCACAATATTAGGCTTTGTCCAAACATTGATCAATCTTATTTTCATTTTCTTTTATTAGCTATTTGGAATTATTCAATCAATTTCAATCACACTAATACCGAAGTTACACATACTACACTCAAATCATTTCTTCTTCATCCACCTGCTCCATTGATACGTATGACTTGGATCGGTGTACATATTCGTCGTGGAGATTTTTTGACGTTCTTTAAAATCGACACAAGTCTTTCTTATCTTAGTTCTTCGATGGACCATTATCGTCAGCGATATCGTAATTGTCGATTTTTGATTGCATCCGATGATAAGACTTATGTTAAAGAACATTTCGGTAAAATTCCTGATGTTTTTATTACACCATCGACATTTTTTCATGGTCATGATTTGGCTGCTTTGGCTCTATGTGAACATTCAATTTTAACTGCTGGAACTTTTAGTTGGTGGAGTGCATGGTTAGCTGGTGGAAATGTAATACATGATCTCAATTATCCAGTACCATTTCAAAAATGTGATAAAGAATCGTATTTCCCTCCTTGGTTTCTTTTTCCTTACAACAGTTCAAGCAAACGATGGGAACCATCATCATAATATGGATTTTATATTATTGAACAAAAACAGTGCATATTTATACGTATGCTTTCATCAGCTCAAATTTGTGTGCATCATAGTTCAAAAATCCCTCAGCCCTCTTTTGGTATTTTTATTTAATACTGTTCGTCATTTTCGTATCATTACATTTTGTTTGCATATTATTGTTGGATTTAACCATCTCTTGGCAAAAAAAAACAAAATCGACAGACAGCCGCCTCTCAGAAATATTCGACAATTCAATTCGATAATAATAATGAGAAAAAATGAGAATCAATGATTGCCGAATGACTTCTGGACATTCTATTTCGCATTAGATCTAGCATATTTTTTTTTCGAGTGGATTCTACAAGTAATGTTCATCGAGTGTCGATTCACTTAGCTCTAGACCGAAAATATGCAAAATATTATCACAAGAAATTTTCTCGAGAGTTGAGTTTATATGTCATCTTGTCTTAGTCGTTGCGGATGTGGATGAGGCATGATTGACGACGAAGAAAATAGTCAAATCCATCCACACCCACGTTTTCAATATCAACTTTTCTAAATCTTTAGAATGAACTGAATAGTCAATATAAAATTCATACCCTCCCATTTAGTTCTTTTATAGTCTCCGTATGACTAAAAACTTCAACTTCTTCTAGTGGGATATAACTAAAGGCACCAAGAACTATGAATATTAAATCTCAAATGACGGGTTTTTTTTTCAGAATATTTCAGTCGAATGTCAATGAAATATGAATTTCATATGCATCATTAGAATCCTCATTGATAGTGACATTATCAAATGTGAATATGTTTTTGTATTGAAAAAGCCGAAGAATATCTAAACGTTGTGAAGTTTGCTGGAACTTACAATCAATGAATGTCAATAATTTTCTTTTATTGTAATGTAAAATGAAAGATAAAGAGTAACGAAGTATCGACTATATTGTTTTACACGGTCAAATTATATATTCGATATGATCATTTTCCATGTTTTTTTATTCCAACGAACAATATCATGATTAACATAGAACTCATTCATAGATTTATATAAGTGTATAAATTTTCATTTATGTCACTTGTTAGAGAATCATTCAATGATAATCAATAACTACAAGTTGCACTATATTAATCTATTGGATACACGGATGAATTGAACTAGACTATTTATGTCATACATAAATTTCATGGAAAGCAATGATCGTCAATATCAAAATATTCGATAACATCGCATAGAACTTTTCTCTAGTAACAATTCTATATCTTTTCGTATAGTTTTTATTCGATAATTTTGTTTGTATCGAGTCGTTATGTGCTCAAAGATTGATTTGTATTTTTTGAATAATGTTGGTAAAATTTCAGAAGAAAATTTTATATTAACTGATGATAATTTATTAAGAATACGAATTCGAACAACAGGTATTGTTGAAGAAGATTTTTATTTTTCTCATTTATAATTTTAGTAAAAATATTTCGTAAATAATAATTAATAAATATATTTATCAATATGAAAATAGATTTGTTGGTGTTAGTAGAAAAAAGAATAGAACATCGTAAATGGATTCATTGTTTTTATGTAAGAGTTTCTTTTCAACTATACTTGATTTTCATCAACAAGTTATCTATTCTTTTAATATGTAACATCTATTATATTTCTTACATCTTTTTTTTTTTTTATTTAGAATTTAATGGAAGACGTTATTACATTATTCTACGAACAAATTATTTTTCTAATGTATAGATTATATTTTTTCTTAATAAAAGAAAAAAAAAATCTTTGTTGAAGCAGTACAAAGATTTTATAAATTCAAAAGAATATCTATCCTAATTTTATACATTCTATTGATTTGTATGTATTATTTACTTGTTACTAATTCAGTTTCTTCTTTGAATTTAAATAGCAAAAACCGATATTCGAATAGTTTTTAAATCTGTTAAAAAAAATCATTCTTGTACATAATCTTAACTCTTGAATTCCTTATTAAATAATCTATTTATATATTAGAAAATAAAATGTTAGACGACAAAAAAAAAAAAAAAAACACAAAATGATCATGTTTGCTTTTCCTTCATTTCAATAACTCGAGCAAAGCAATACTATATACACAAATAATTACATAAAAGACAAGTAAGAAATTGATTAATGCTCCTCAACAGTTTCATCATCCCAATTCACCAAACTATGTTGAGCACTTAAACCACCTTGTTCACCAAGTAACCAATACGTTCGTTGTTTTCCTTTGCCCTACAATAGAAAAAGAAAAGCATTCGTATTAAAACAAATAAATAATGTTTCTAACCTTCATTTCAATATCACCACGTAATTTAAGTTCAAATGTACCGAATTTTTGAAGAATAGCTATTGTACTTGATGATACATGAATACGTAATGCTTTACCATTTGATTCCATTCGAGATGCTGTATTTACCTTTAATAATGATTATAACTTTTGTTTTTTGTTTTTATTCTAAATTAATTTTTATTGAAATAAACTTACAGTATCACCAAATAAACAATATCGAGGCATTCTTAAACCAACAACACCAGCAACACATGGACCTGAATGTATACCAATACGTAATAATAATTTTTTATCAGGTCGATGTCGTATACGAAAATTAAGTACAGCATTAAGAAGAGATAATGAAAGACGAGCTATTTCTCGTGCATGTAAATCTCCATTACGCATTGGTAGACCAGAAACAACCATCTATATAACAAATAAAACTTATTCCTTTTTTTTTTATTAAAAAAAATCTTTTACATAAGCATCACCAATTGTTTCAACTTTATAAACATCATAATTTTCCGTAACAGCATCAAATACAGAATAAAGATCATTTAATAAATCAACAACTTGTAATGGTGTACTTTCAGATGATAATGAAGTAAAACCAACAATATCCGAAAAGTAAATTGTAACACTTTCAAATGATTCAGCTGTTACTGGTAGACCACGCATCAATTGAGCAGCAACCGTTCTATTAAAATAGAAGATTTCCTTTTTTTTTAAAAAAAACATAATTACTAATATCGTATAATTATTTTCTAATTTTTTTAGAAACAAGATTGTACTCAGAGAGTAACACAGACAAAGTTGATCCGAAGCAAAAAAAAAACAATATTTCTTTTTTTTTATAGTGAATGGAATAAGTTTCGATAATCGAAGTATATTAGAAAATCGTAGATGATTACTTACGCTGGTAATAATTGATAAAGTAAAGCTTCTGCTTTTTTCTTTTCAGCTAAATAATCACTTGTACGTTCTTCAACAAGACCCTATTAAATAAAGATTTGATTTAATTAATTATAAAACAAAAAAAAAAAAGAAAAGGTTTTCAGTGTAATCCCTATGAGATTAAAATGTGAAACTCTGTTTTACTTGTTAATGAAAATTCTACACATGTTGGATCTTATTATCCTTGATGGTTAGATGAACAAAACTATCGAAATATCTATCAAGTTCTAGGAAGTTTTGTCGATTATTTCTGTCTGTTGTAATACGTGGGAGTACAGTATGCATCTAAGCGGAGTGCTGTAAAATGAACAATTCAACATTTAAACTTTTCCAGAATATTATTCTATCTATTATTTACAAACATTTCTGAATTGTAGAGTAAATTTATACATCATATTCAATCATTTCTATTCCTTATTTACTTCAACATTTCATTTTAGATCGTATTTCACAAATAAATAAGACTAACTTCAAGATTATTTGCATATTGTTCCATACGTTTAAGTAAATTATCAAGAATATTTCCACTTTCAAGATCTCTATAAAAATAAAACAAAAATAAAATATATATTAATTCTTCATATTATTCATACTTATTTATTCGACGCATAATTTGTCGAATACCCGTAAAATCTGGTCTTTCATTTGGATCTTCTAACCAACAACGTTTCATTAATTGACCGATTTCAATATTACATTCACCAACTTCAATACTTGGTCGAAGTAAACTGCCTGCTTTAACACTTTTAACAATTTCTATTGAAAATTTCGGCATAAGAAATAATTTTTTTTTGTCATTAAAAAAAAAAAAAAAGAAATATTCTACCATCCGGTGCTAATTCACGATCTCGTAAATAAAATGGTCCATTACGTAATTGTATTTCTTGTAAAATAATTCCAAAACTATATACATCACCTTTAGCTGTACCTGCAGCTGGTGGATTTGAATCTCTCAATAATTCTGGTGCTGTCCATAAACGACCTTTTTTTTTTGTTTTTTATAAATAGAAGAAAGATCTTTTACATTAATCAATAAATAAAAATATACTTTTATAAAATGCAAAATCTTTAACAACACCCGGTGGTGGTGAACCTCGATTTGTATTTGACCGTAATGTTGGTAATCCGAAGTCAGTTATTTTACAAATAAATCGACTATCAACAACACAATTTGAACTTTTTAAATTACCATGTGATCCAATTTGACTATTATGGATATGTTGCATACCCTAGATGAATATTTAATTAAGTTAAAAAAAAAAAGAATTTTTTTGTTCAATTCATTACTTTAACAATGTCATGCATAATGGAATGTTTAAACATGGTGTCAAGTTTAATTTCTTCATTTTCGAGAATATCCTAATTAAAGAAATAAATAAAAAAAATAGTAAACAATTCTTTTTTTTTTTTTTTGTCTTTCTTGAAATTATCAACCTGTAAACTTCCTTTAGGACAATATTCAGTAACAATATATTGATGTTTTGGATCAATACAAATACCTATAAAACGAGCTATATGATCATGAGTTAAATCTTGCATCTAAATAAATATATTTTATTTAGAAATATTTTTCATTTTTTTTTTTGGTTTATACTCAACTGCTTTAACTTCTAATTGTAAAGCACGTGTTGTTTCAAGTTTTGTTTTATGAAAACGTTTAAGTGCAACAACTGATGACTAATAGATTAAAATCAAATATTATTTTATTTTAATTTTATAAATTTTTTCTTACTTTATAAATAGCTGTTTTTGTAAATGTTTGTCTTGTTTGAACATCTATTTCACTATCATCAGAATGATGAGTTGAAATAGAACTTCTCTAGAAAATAATATTAAATAAAGTTTAAAATTTAATAGAAATAATATTTTTCTATTCGCGAAGAAATTTACTTTTTGAGAAAGTGAAACTTTCTGAAATGATGGTGTTGCAACATTATTATGTAATAATGGTCGTCCAGATAATTCTTCCCATTTAATTAACCATTGCATTGCTTTTAATTCTGCTTCAAATTTTGCTCGTCTAAAATTTTTATCGATTAGAGAAAAAAAAGAGGTTTTTTTGTTTTTGTTTTACCGATATAAAATAAATCCAATAATAATAAGAAGAACAATAATTGATAAAAGACTAATTATAATCCAACCCCATATTGGAATAAGAGCTAGAATATGAAATGAAATAGATTTTCATTTAATTAAAATAAAAATATCAAACAAACTCTTTTCAGGACATTTAAGATTATTAAAACCACAACGTGGAGTATCAGGAATAAATGTTGAATTTTTATCAATAAAATAAATAAGACGAGATTCATTTAACCATTGTAATTGTTTATTTTCAGTTGAAAATTGTTCATTTGGATAGGCAACAACAGCCTGAAAAATGTCACTTAATAATTCATCTTTATTCAAATTCCATTGTATTAACTCAATTATATAAGATTAAATTAAAATATCACTTAGAGTTTAATCAATCAAAAGAGAATTTAGTTCAAAACGAAAACTTCGCATCGAAGTTAAAGAAATGTAAGATATACTATATTTTTCAAAGCTTCTATAAAATTGATATTCATGAAATCTGCGACCACATCTAGTCAAGTTACAGAAAAAGTAAACATTGATGGCTACTGATATGAATCTCAAATTTTTGCTAATAATAAACAATCTATCGAGAGAAAGCAACTTCTCTTCTAAGATGGAGTTTTCTATTACTTCTTCCCTGGATAGAACATTGCATGACACACGTAATCGCTGGAAAAAAATGTTTTGACTTATAAAATATGTATGACTAATCTTTTCAACTCTTGCTCGATATTACGCCCAAACAAAAAAAACTGTGAATATGTTTGACTTCTGAATATTATAAATAATTATGATTAGGATCAACGTCGTTTGGCTTGGCATATGTTTTAAATAATCTTCTAAAGTGATATACATGTAAAATCGAATAATAACGATCTTCGAATTTATCGATAGTAATAGAAAATCATTTTATATTTTTGATTCAATTCATACATGATCATCAATAGAAATTTAAAATATAATTTACCTCTAATTCTCCTGTATCTGGATCCATATCAAAAATAGTATAACCAATATCAATACGATCACAAATTTGATTCATTGTTATATTTTTATTAACACCTTCAATTGAACGATTACAAATAATTGTTTTAAATTTTTTTGCATCTAATGATGGATATATTATTGTTTCACTATTAGTTAATATATCTTGTGAATTTATATTTGTATAATGTGTTTTTAAAGCTTTAAAATAGGTTACAACTGCATCATAAAAATTTGTTTCATCTGTTCCAATCTAAATTAATATCATTACTCTTTTTTTTGTTTTGTTTTTGCTTCAATATTAAATGAAGAACAAAAAAGAAAAACAAAATACATACTGTTTCATGTATTAAATATTTTGTTCGATTTGTTTCACGTGCAAAATCAACAACATTAGCAGCAAAACGACGAAAACGTTCACCTGTATAAAGACGTTGTCGAACAAAAAGTACAGTTTCAAATGCACGATGTGCATTTTCATTTATTTGATTATTTACTTCATTTGAATCATACCATGGTTGTCTTACAGATAAACTTTTTTCATCAGTACTTAACACAAAAAAACAAACAAACAAATAGTTCAATAGAAAATAAACTAAAAAAAAAAAAGAAATTTTATAATATACTTTTCTTGTGTTAAAACTGTATCAAGATAAATGAAAACATATTCTCCATTAATAAAACCAAGTTGATGTGCTGTTAAAATAGCTGAACGAAATGTTTGAGGATTAACACACCATAATGAAACTAAAATATTGAAATTGAGTTTTTTTTTGAAAATAAATATTGAAATTATACCTGATGCATTATTACTAATAAAATCAATAAATATTGATTTAAAATTATCGTTTATATCATGACTTGTAATTTTTCGATTATCCGAACGAATTTGATTTGATGCAAATGTATGTGCTATTGGTCGTAATAATACTTGACATTCATGCCAAGGCTTAGGAGTATCTTCATAGAGAAATTTAACAAATGACCATTTATAATATTGAAAAAGTTTAACAAGTAATGAACCTAAGAAATATATAGAGAAAAAAAAACGAATAATTTTAAAGATTTATTACAATTACACTTTGTTCGCATTACTAATGGTGAGAAACCTATGGATCCACACATTTATGAACTCAACTGAATCTAAGACGACTCCGTCAAAAATCGATCTCAGCTCAGGAACATTCAAATTGTATGAAACTTTCAGGATATGTTGAGACTGATGAGCGATGTCTATGGAAAAATTTGCAGACTTATGTCATGACGTTTGACAGAGATATTCACTAAACAAGGCTCAAAAATAGATCTATCGTAGCGTCAAGATTTCTCTGTGGGCCTTCATTTTATAAATTTAAATTTTTTTTTGTTTGAAAGCTTGTGACTAAGACTAGTCCCTCTCGTGGTCCTTTTTTTTTTAAACTCTTACTTTTTAAGCGAAGAAAAGGAATGACAAGTTTAATAACTCAAAAAAAAAACCTTAAAAAATGGCGCTGTTTTTATACAAGTGTTTTCTAATATGATAATAAAAAGGCTTACTTTAAAAAAGGAATACGAGGGAGTCGAGCTCTAGACACAACCTTCCAAAGAAAGAGAAAAATATTTAACTTTATCTTTTACTATGATAGAGTTCCGCTGGCACTACGTCGTTGAACTCACGTTCTGAGAAAAGCGAAAAATGATTTTCGATTTTTTGTAAAAACGGCTTGTTTTTCAAATAGAACGCGACGAAAATCTTTCAAAATTTTTGGAAAAAACGAGATGCTGAATAAAAATTTTTATCGCGTATCGAAGAGCAGATGACGGGCTATTTTTCCATGAATTTATCTCAATTTTGATGATTCTCGCGAAAAGCGACTTTTTTTGAGGAAGGGTCTTAAGGCAACATTCAATGAGTATCATCAAGTTCATCAAGGTTTTTTTTCAAATTCCTATTTGTTTTATTGAGAAAAAATTCTTACTTTGTATTATAAATACTAAAACAGAACACATCAAATCCATATGGCGCTCTCTCTCTAGTTCTCTAACCAAGATAGACTATCAATCAGAAGCGAACTTCTATACAGCGCTGTCACTGCCGTCACCATCTTGACGGTGATAGGCATCAGCTGTTTTCTTTTGTTTTTGGAATACTGTACGATTTTGTACAAAATTTTGATGTCTAAAAAAGTAAGATCCAAAGATTGCATTAATCTTATGAATTAATAACATGAACATCGGGTTACTATGATGGTGGTTGTGGAATTTCAAAAATTTTTCAATAGACTTGCCGCAACGAACATCTCTCGTATATACTTCTCTCTAACTCATACTTATGTATCGATTCTATCAATGATTTAGTAAAACCTCTTCAGTAGGTAAATAATATAAACAGATCGATCAGATGCGCTTTCCTATGTGCACGGTAATTTGGCAACTCCAGTTGTCATTGGGAGGGAGGCAGCGACATGAAAGCGTCTTTTTTATCTTTTGTGAGTAGCTTGTTGATCTCGCGAAAATACAATATATTGTTTTAATGCAACAATACGAGTAAAGAAAAAACCAACACATACAAAGATTTTCCTTTTTTTTTTCCTCGAAGTAATTAAATTATTAAGTAAAGGATATAATTATTGATTCATTCTTCTTCAATTTCGACTAGAATAAGATTTAAAAGAATTGAGGTATGGATACGGATGCGGTTTGGATCTCTTCTTGTTTGACACTGACACTCAGACCCACCCATACTCACATCAAACATTTATATAACAACAAATAATATTCGTATTTATCAATAACATCAATCTGTTTACTTATCTATATGTAAATATTAACAAATTTTTGCGTTATTTCACTGATTCGGGTGAAAAATTTTTAAACGCATTTTATTCAATAGCAGAAACTTTTATGAATATTTATCGTCCATCATATCATCAAGATAAGTATTTCTTATAGGTAAAAAAAAAACCAATTTAAACAGAAGAAGTCTTTTCTTTAGTAATCTCATAATCGTTTCTTTTGTAAGTCGTATATCTTAGAGGCAGAGTAAAGATACAAAAAATATTTTTTTTACCAATCGGTTGCTTAAGAAATTCTCTACACACGAAGTGCCTACGCGTTCTGCAATGTTTCTAAAAATGGTAATTTCACTTAGGTTAATACATGAAAAGACTATCACTGATTCCATCTGCAGAAGTTAATAAAAAAAAAAAATAAGCAACAAATGTAAAAGTCATGTCATTATTTCATTGTTTATAAATCAATCAAAGAAAATAAAAATATTCATATTATGATAGTGTATTCTTTTCAAATTTAAAAAATAAATTCGTTATACACAACAATATATTACAGATCTAATAATTCATACATGTAAAAAAAAAAAGAAATGATTATTACAATAAACTAATTCATTTATTTTAGATTTGATTCTTTTTATATAGCTCCAAGCAATTTATTCGATGAGATAATTATGACAAATAGCTGATAGACTATTAGACTTAATATTAAAAAAAAAAAAGTAAGTATGTAGTATGTCTCAAAGGCATCGTTTAACAATGGAACGACATTATTAATATTAAATTAACAGGCCAAAATTTATTCGTTCATATGATCTCAACTGAAAAAGATTTAATTTCATATTGAAATCGAATTCCTCAAGACACTTATCTATTTGAATAGAATTATTTTCACAAGAAAAGAATCTTACAAGGACAAAAAATATGCAGAGTCTAATCTAAAAATATTTCTTATAAGAATTGAATGTGTTCAGTTATATATTAGTATTTATTAGATTATACATTATATATATATATGAACAATCTGAAAAAAAAATCGATCTTCTTTTTCCCTATATAAAAATAAAATACAGTTTTTTTTTTTTTCATCATATTAATTAGTCAGTTTGTCTTTGACAAATAAACGAATAAGAATGCGTCACATCACATGTCTTTTTCTGTTGTCCTTGATGCATTTCACTACTAATCAGATTGACTTGCCAACAACTACTAATATTCTCTATTGCCTACTAACTCTTCTACAATACTATTACTTGACAAATGCGATTTGACCTAGAAGTGCATATGAAAAATAAAAAGATTTTTTTTTTTTCTTCTTTTAAGTTCCGTACGCATTCTTATAATTGGAAGAGTATCCTTTAATTACCACTAACATTATATATGTACGATTGTATGACAAAGGACTCAAAAGTAGGAAAAAAAAACAAATGTAGAAATTGATTAGCTTTTGAATATTTCAAGATGAATTGAATAATAAAGAAGAGTTTTCTCTTTTTATCTGAAGAGTCAATCACAAATAAATATTTTTTTTATTTTGATTGTCGAATGTCGAGTGCTGATTGCATTGAAAGACTATAACTTTTTATGCTTAGATAATGTTGAATTACATCTAATAAATGAGTTTTTCTTTTTTTTACTAATATTGACAATTTTATTTTCCTCTTGCATATTTTATCTATATATGAATGTCTTACCGAGTTCATCTGTTCGATATCCAAATCTAAATAATGTTGAATACATTGTTTCTCTTTGTAAAGTAAATTCATTAGATACAGCTCCCATTGTAACAATAGGAATATTTTGAAAATGAAGAAGACGAGCAACAGGTGCTACTGCTAAATCTGAAAATCATAATAAATGAGAATAAAAAAAAAAGAATATTAAAGATATTAAAATTTCATGTTTTACCACAAAATGGTCCAAAAACAACATCAGGAATTGTTGAAAGCATTGTTGTAACAAGCATATGAGGTGCTAAAGATATCGAGCAATTAGAATCTTTAACTTGTAAATTAATATTAAGCCATTTTGTTATTTGATAACGATGAACAATATATTCATAAACAATAAGTAATGATTTTAAATTTGGTATAAAATAATCGATATCGGGAAACATCATTAATATAGTTACATTTGGTTTTCGAATTGATGTTCCTAAAGATTTTTGAATATTTTTTTGTCCAATATCCAATATTGAACAATTTAATGATGGTAAAAAGATAAAAAGAAATATTAAAATAATAAACAGAATAATTAGTGATTTCGTCATTGACCACCATGTGCAATAATCCAATATTATTATTTTACGTTTGTATTTTGCTTTTGATTTCTTATTGCTATTTATATAAAAATAAAATAGAAGAAACAAAAAAACATATTTATTATTATAACTTACTTGTAACGAATTTCTAATAATTTTTATCAATGTTTTTTTCATTGTATTTTATTACTTATGTAAAATAGAAAGCAAAGTTTGTCACTTCTTTTTTTTTTTTTTTTTATGTCCTCAATTAAGGACGAAGAGAAGCCTAAAATGTATGTCGGAGCAATTACAACAGTTAAAGAAGCAACAACGAGTCACTTCATATAAGACGGGTTTTTCTTTAGATCGAATGATTCTCTCTGTTAGCTAAGAGCGATGATGATGATGATTAAATAAGGATGTTTAAACAACTTTCATCACTGACGATAACATTAGGCGAACGCAACGACGAGAAAACTTTTCTTTTTTATTATTTCCTCTATATTACTATTACTGTAGTGATTGTCGAGTCGAGCTCGACGACACACTCACACTTATACACAGAATCATTATTCTTTATAAAATGAAAACTAATTCAAATTATCTTACCAATAGAAAAACTCTATCTTAATATCGATTAGAATTGAAACTAACTAAATTTGAAACAAATATGAATATAGTTAAGTTCTTTTTTTTTTCTGTCTTATTCATTCTGATTGATTAACACAAACTGACACACAATCAAATATACCTTCCGATGTTTTAGTCATCTCATCATATAAAAATAATCTAGACAACTAGCATATTGATGAATATTTATTCTGATATTGAGAAAAGAAAATCTATTTCTTTTTTTTTTTTTTTTCGAATGAAGACTATAATAAAAAAAAAGCCAAATAGATAATATTTTAACAGTATAATAACATGATATATTACTTTAAATGTCAAAATCATGTTTGCATTTTACCTTAAGACCGGAAAACTTATCTGGAACGATTGTCATATGTCGAGAATTTATTCTTTCCTGTTTGATTTACTACATATTAATATATCGAGAAAACAAAAAAAAAAAAAAAAAAAAATACGATGACAAAAGTGATCTCTTTTATTGCTTTAATAATACGACAATGTGTAAGTTAGAGAAAGAGAAAGAAAAAAAAACGAGTTTCATTTGTATGTAAAGAAAGAATTGACAGGAGATTATTAATTGAAAGTCAAGTGAGATTAGCATCATGAATGAAAAAACCAAATCAAGACTAGTACTACTCTATCAGGGAAAAAAAAAGAATGTGAAAAAGTAACAAATCAAAGAACATGCGAAGTCAATGAAGAATATCATTTAATTTATGATTATATACTACTATTACTGCTACTACTATCGTTTTCTTTTATGACAACAAGAATAACAACTAATATTCTGCAAAAAAAAAAAAAAATTTATATTGATTAAAAGAGAATAGAGTTGTTTCCTTTTTCTTGTTCTTTCTTTTTTTCCAATTTATATTACTATCTCTTATTCGTTTCTTTTTCCTTTATCATTTATACTCAACTATAGAGTAAAAGAATAAAAATGTCTTTGCACACATACTCATATTTTCATCTACACTTAGAATAATCGATTTAGTCTAATCATGTGAAAATATTCCTATCGTTTATGTTCATAAATGACGATGCAAAAGAACAGAATACAACCAATGACTATTAGATTTATTAACTATACTAATCGATGAAGTCTAACAATGTTGACTCAAATCACAAGACATAGTTTCGTATATTTATTGACATTAGTTCTAATACAAAAAAAAAAAAAAAGAAATAAACATTAAAATATTCAATAATCATTTCGTAAATATATAAAATTTCTGCATATGAACACATCAACAATATCAAATCATTGATACATTTACCTGACGAATTATAAACTTGAAAAAAAAGTGATTAAACTAAGAACTACTTAATAGAAAGAAAAAAATAAGTAACCAAACAAGAAGAAACTATTCTGTATCTGATAGTTTTCGTAATAGATCAAATTAGAAAGCTATCATTTACAATGAAATTACGATAACACATTTATAATAATTGAATATCGAAAGAAGTTTCAAAATTATTCAATTAACTATCTTCGTATATAATGTTTTATAGAGAATATCTGCTATTATTCACATAGATAAAGACATCATGTTTGTTTGAATATAAATACCAAAATATATTAGCCAATTGCACATGAAGACAAGCATTTTAAATATAACTTCTATCTTTGTTTCTTTTTTGGAGAGTGCGATGTCAAAACTACAACTAACTAACAATAGTTTATAATTTGAGATGAAATCATATTTACATAACAGCAATAGTGACAACTATACATTGTTTTGCGTTTTTCTCAAAATAATTTTGTCATGAAAAAATCATTGCAGAAATATCTCCGTTTCTTCGGCATGATGCATTCGATCGAGTTGAAACTTTTTTTTACATATACTAGACACTGTTTGGGATGAGTATTTATTTTTTTTTTTTGTGTTTCAAAAAATATTATTCTGCTGATTTTTGATAGTACTTACAAAAAAAGCTCTATTCAAAAAAAAAAACATGCGTTTTTTAGTGTACCGTCGATATTTTGGTATTTTTATTCGAAGGACAAAAAATAAAAAAATATCCATTTCAAACAGTGTCTAGTATCTGTAAAAAAATCTTCAGTTTGATTGAACATAGCATCTTGATAACAGAAATGGGATACTCTTAAATATATGTAAAATATTTTGATATCACTTAGAACAAGCGTCCAATTAAATCGAATTCGTCTATCTTTATATATTTTGACAATTTGCGGTCAACATTTTCGTGTTTTTTTTTTTTTTCGTATAAAATATGAACTAAATACAAAGAGACATTTATATTTATATCTCTGAGCAATGAGAAAAAGAATACAATAGAGATATAAAAAACATGTGATTGTGACTAAGACATCTTCTATATATTTCAATACAATTATAATAAATATAATTTCATTGAATTCATTTGTTGTATTGTTTATTCATTGTATTAAAAGACAAAAGAGGCTATCAATAGGATAGACAAGAAAAAGTTGAAATTATAGATGGATATATAAGGATATGGTCCAATGCACTCGGTCATCATCAACGAAGAAGAGCAACGCCATGTTAGTAGATATATTTGATCGAACAAAACAACATGCTTAACCAAGAAGAAGAAGGAGAAGAAGAAGACGATATAAGCTTTTATGTTCAAACAAATGAACCTAATATGCTCAAATCGATTTCGGGATCAAATTCTTATGGGAATCTTGCAGATGAACGAATTAAAATTAATCGAGAACCACCAATAGGTAATATATTTATATCTACATATCATGGATTAGTCATTCGATTTAAATAAAACATTTTGAAAAACTTTTTTTTTTTTTCTTTTTTTGATCCTTTCTTTTTATAAATCAAAGATGAATATCGTCGTGAATCACAGATTCGTCGACAAAGTATTATAATTCGAGAACATCAATTGGCACAATATCCAATCAATTATGATCCATCACCACAAATTATTCGAAAAAAACTTGAAGATTATCATGAACCTATTGTCTATAAACAACAAATTGCTGTTCGATATTTATGTCCACCTACACCACCACCACCGGCTCCATTAATTATTCGAGAAATTCGACCACCTGAACCATTATCATTACCACCTAGTTTATATAAATGAATAGATTTCGAATAGTAAAATTATGATATTTTTTTTTTTTGTAGTTATTATTCGTCAACAACCTCCACCACCAGTTACTCCACCACCAATAATTATTCGAGAACGACCACCAACACCACCATCTTATAATACACCTCAGGTAAAAAAAATAAAAACTGAATTCTTATTATACATGAGAAATTTTTTATTGAAACTAGATAATTTACAAACGAGTATCACCTGTTAAACAAATACAACGTCGTGTTATTATTGAACGTTTACCTCAAATGCCTGCTAAACCTCCTGATATTATTGTTGAACGTTGGCTTCCATATAAACAACAAAAACGAAAAGTCATTTATGAGAAAGCACTACCAACTAATGACAATTCAACATCATCTAATGATCAATACGTACAGAATAGATTCATCAATCAATATAAAAATCCATTAGTACAAATGGAAAAACAAATGCGTTCATTAAGTATAACATCACGTGATCGATTTGAACAAGATAAAAATTCATATCTATCTTCTCAAACAAAAAATACCGGTACACATATTTAGTTAAGTTTATATTTATTTCTTATTTTCTTGCTATTTTTATAGAATCAATCTATGATAATACTTTACCATTAAAAATTGAATATTCAAATCAACGATCAAATTAGAATAGTTGTTATTTTATCTATTAAAATTAGCGTCAGAATGACAAAACAAAAACAATTTTTACATGTTAACACATGAAGGATCTTTTAACAATTTAATAAAATATAAAAGAGAGGATCGCATAAGGACCATTTTTTTTGATCATTCTCATTTTTCTTCCACTCATTGTTTATCTAATGCAGAATTGTTTGGTAACAAAATAAAGTGAATATATAAAGGATTCACACCCAGGGCTGCACCAAATACAAATTTACAAAATCAGAAGATTTTTATCGAAATCAGGAAACTTTTTGGTTATTTTTTTTTTTTTCGAAAGAAACTGAGATTTTTGTTTGTGCAAGTAATTCATATCTTCTGTTGACGAAATAATGGCCAAATTTTTCTGCGATATTATATGAGAAAATATAAAGATAATCATGTGTTCGATATAGGGTGTCTGAAAAATCATGATCATTTAACAAATGCATATAACTCCATTATTAATCAAGTTTTATCTAATCATTTTTTTTTAATGTGAAAGAGAAGACAAATAAGTTTTTATTCATAATGAAAAAGTTGATAAATATAGTTCAAAGGTATTATCTTTAACGTCAATACAAAAATTTAGATGTTTCACAATTTATGAAAAAAACAAACATCGGGTGAACCATAATGAATGGTTGTGCTTTGCATCCTATATTTTCATTACTTATTTCGCCTTATTAAAAAAAACCTAATATACGAAAAGATGTATTGTTTCCAAAACCGACAAAAGATGAAATTAAGAAAAATGAACTCGCCATGTACCAAAAAAAAAAGATCTTTTTCGTAGGGTCGAAGTTTGGTTGCTTCGAGTTTAGTCGCTATTGAAAACAAAAAGTGTAACTGTAAGAAAAGCTGTCTTATGCAAATTGTAGAGTTTTTCACGTTGCATCTTTTGGTATATTTGGTTTTTTTAATCAAACATGGCAGATGGTAAATAAGTCAAAAACGCATTGGTCGTTTATTGAAAAAAGACTTTTACAGCATCGAAATCTGATCGCTTAGAATTTTGAAAAACAAAATGTCGAAATATAAGAAAAAACTATCTTGTACAAATTGTAGAGTTTTTCACCCTACAATACATTACCCGTCAAACTCTCTCCAATTGGTGAAATTCCGGAAATCTAATCCATCGATAACATATGTTCTTTCCTCGTTTTCATCTACTTATCTGCTTGAATGTGTATACATTAGCAAAAAGAAAGAAAGAAGATTAATTCGAATCTATGTGTTCCACGCTCAAGATATAATACACCAACGAATATATCAGTTTTATTCAAAATAGAAAACGATCCAAGGGTATTAGGTGCATTTCAAATGCGGAAAAAAACAGGCAACAACAAGAAGACACGAAAATATGTATTTTTTTCTGAAGATGAATTTCATCGAATATAAATCAAAATCATGGATGTTTGATCATTTTACGGATGAAAATTTTATTTTTAAGGGTATGGCGAATTTTTCGTCTTTTGTCATGAGACTTTCAACGATTTCAAGATGGAAAACGCTTTTTCGATAGGTGAAAATTATTCAGTTTAGAAAATTTTCGCTTAGAAATCGGTTGTGTCTTTGTGAAAGGGCTGTGTTTGATATTCTAGTAAAATGGGACGTATTTGAAATTTGTATCCCTTTTCTCTACTCTTTGCGTAGATCCCGGCGGCATTGTTTTTGCACCATAAATAGTTCTTCGTATGGTGTAAAAAGTTGCAAAGACACGAGATTTGAAATGCTTGGTCAATATCTTTTAATTAACTCACCACGTATTGGGTATAGAAATACCATTGTGATTTTATTAATAGGTATAGAAAAAGTTTTCTTATTATTTTCAAATAGGGTCGATTTTGCTGGCATATCTACATTCATCTGTTAATGAAAAACTATAGTCTATTCTCATAGTCTATGATAATACAAGTACCTGCCCTACAGATGACTAAGTAACACACTGCTTGTACATGGAAAACACATATCTACAGCTCCGAAATGCATTGTATATCTTATATTGATGAGACAGTCCAAGAAAAAAACCAAGATCAAGTAAGTAACTTTTACAGCTAAAATAGTGGCAAAATGTTGAAATATGATTATAATCAGTGATAAAACATGTATCTTCTAGTTTATTCATTAGCTAACATTATTCGTATTACGCAAACACATGGAGTGTGAAGTGCAGGGTGCATATGATAATAGTTTGAGAAGAAATAGAATAATATTTCGTAAAAACTTCCATACACACTATGGATGACATCGATAAGAAATCTGGACGATAATATCTCTCTCTCATTCAAGAGCATTTTACAACAATGAAAAGCTGACAGCGAGGGATAGTTGTAAGCACATCCTGATGGTACACAAAAACATTGCTGATTTTGAAGGGAAAACTTATGAAATAATCAAAGCATTTTTCAACCACTACAGATACGCTTTTTTCACCTCAAAACTAGTGAAAATCGAGTGAAAAATGAAAGATTTATGTCTCATAGTATGCATATTTTGCCTATTGATCATGCTTTTCGTCCTCGCCCTCTGTACCTACTCATCTTATTTTTATTATTATCGTTCGTAGACAAAAATGATCGTTCTATTTATAACAAAATAAGAAATCTTTGAATTCATGCTTGCCTATAATTTATTTGTGCAATAAAAAAGTTTACACAATCTTCATGAAATGTGTTAAGAATATATCATACATTTTTTGAACTTCAATTATACCATATAGTTTGAAAGGCAATGAAATATGGATACATATGCAAAAGTTAAGTGATACAGAAAATAGGTTTTATATTAACTTTATTTTTAACTGAAGTTTATTCAATCGTACGTAATAATTATTATTTTATTACTCATTTTTTAGTAAAAAATAAATATACATCTACTACCTGTTCATTGAATACAGATCAATTTTCAGCAAATCTTTTTCTTTACTTGAATGCTTATCATAAACAAAGAAATTATAATTTCTTTCTCAAATATTTATGAATGATTAATTAAAAGAGGAACAAGTAATATGATGACATTAGAGAAAAAAAATAGAAAGAAAATATTTGTCTTCTTTTTTAAAAAACACACAGTTATAGAATTATTTTGACGATAAATAAAAAAGTCCAAATGTTTAGTTTTCTTTATTATTGAAAAAATCATCGCGGAGTTAGTTGTTCTTAGTCAAAGTTTGATTTTTTTAAAAATCTATCTTCACTTTTTTGAATATTTTATTCCAGTATTTTGATTTCTAGATGCTTAGAAGGGAGCGATTTCAAGTAAACTACAAGAGCTTATGTAGAATATATAGATATCCATGTTGAATGCACGCGACCATCATTTGGCTAAATGACGCATTGTTTCGATTTTGAATATCGTACAGTTTAAAATGACAGTGCAGTATGACTTTTTTCGTTCTGATAGGGAGAATATCGATTAAACAAAAAGATGAAAGAATACATATTGTTAAAAATACATCATATTTCAGAATTCAATGCATAAAGATTCTCAATTTTATTTATTTATTTTTTTTTTGTAAGGCCAGATCATACAACCACAACTTTCTTGTCTATTCTTCGTCATATATTACGAATTATCTGTATATCAAATAGCATAAGAAATGTTCTTTAGATTAGTTTTACTGCTCAAATTTATTTATCTGCTGAAATAAAAGAAAACTATAAATATGATTAGGATGTGGATGATTTATGTAGTCACACCATATCCAGATTCTCTCGGAAGGATGAACACAGTTTCAGAATTAACCTGACATTGAACTAAAATGTATGAATAAGAAAAAAAAAGGGAAATAATAGCAATAGATAAGAATAGAAGTCAAAAAATTCGGAATCAAAAAAAAAATCTTGTACATAATATGAATGAATAAACAACGAAAATTATTCTTGATTTTTCTTCTATTTGTTTTTTCGCAGCTTATGAAAAAAAAAAGAAAACAAACAAAATGAATAACTCTTTGTTTTGGCAAAATAGAAACCCACATTGAAGAAGACGAAATTAATTATTCAAATGTGTATCAGGCGCATATGTAAATCCATTAAATAATGGATCTTTATTTGTAACACTTCCTATATAATGTTCTCCAACACTTGAAGGTATTTCCTTTTGTATAAACATCTTATCAACTAGACTGATGTCAGCTGGATCACTAACAGATGGTTTCCATGGTGGTGAACTTTTTCTTGCTTCTAATTTTTCCCAATCGATTTGATCAAAAAATGATTGACGTTTTATATCAGCAACATCTTGTGGTCCACTACCTAAACGTTCACCTGGAGTTTTTCTTAATAACTAAAAAAAAGCCTACAATTCAATAAATCTTTCAATTAATTATTAAATAAACCTGTTCAATAAAATTTCGAGCACGTTCCGATACATTGCCAATAAAACGTAATGGTCGATTTAAAATATTATCATACATTTCATTAACATCACGTGAATAGAATGGTGGCTAAAAAAGATTTTTTATAGAATTTAATTGCAAGAAAAATGAATACATACTCGACCAGATAACATTTCATAAGTAACTGAACCTAAACACCACCAATCAACAGCTTTTGTATATGGTTGACGTCGTAATACTTCAGGTGCGAGATATTCCGGTGTTCCACAAAAAGTTGCTGTTCGTCCTTCACGTTCTTCTGTTGATAACATTATTTTACATAAACCGAAATCAGTTAAACGAATATGTCCCTAAAAGAAATATTTTTTCTTTAAATAAAAAAAAAGAAATAATGAAATTTTTTCGAAATACTTCACGATCAAATAAAATATTTTCTGGTTTTAAATCTCTATAGATAATATCCAATTTGTGAAGATAACCAATAGCTGATGTTATTTCTGCTGCATAAAATCGAGTACGTGGTTCATTAAATGTTCGCTCACGTTGTAAATGGTAGAATAACTAAAACAAATATATTATTTTAATCCAAACAACAAGATCACTAATCATCATACTTCACCACCATTAATAAAATCCATAACAAAATAAAGTTTGTCCGGTGTTTGAAATGAATATTGAAGTGATACCAGAAATGGATGACGTGTATTTTTAACAAGTACATCACGTTCAGCCATAATATGACGTTCTTCTCGTTTTCGTTTGATTAATGCTTTACTTACAACTTTAATAGCATAAATCATATCCTCAGTTTTATGTCGAACTAAATAAACTTTTCCAAATGAACCTTCGCCAATACATTTTTTAAATTCAAAATCATCAGGTTTAACTCTACAAAGAACAGATTCATTTGAAAAAAAAAAAAATTCAATAAAAATGTTTTCTTTTTTTTTTCAACGTACCTAGTCTTTTCACTTTTGCCTAAATTAACAGAAATTGTATCGGACTAAATTTAAAATTAGAAATAATTCAAGAAAAGATTTTCATTTTTTTTAATTTACTGATGTCGATGGATCGTCTGCATCATTACTATTTGCTTTGGCGCCATCATTATTCGTTTTATCATCACCTGCTGGTGATGCATTCGATGATATTGTATTAAAACCAAAAAATTCAATAAATTCAGGTCTAAAAATTCATCGAGATAAATAATGACAGATGATTGTATCAAGAAAAATATCAATCTAAACGTGATACCACTATTAATAGAAATTGACAATTTGTCAGTCGAGATAAGATGTAATAAATCAAAAAAAAAAGAAAAGAAAAAAAGGTAGAAAAGTAAAAGAATTTTTGCACCGTCCTTATTGCGTCGAAAAAACCTGACCTTATGATGTTTTTTTTCTACTTACAAATTAATTATTAGCGGGTTAGTAGAAATCTTTTGAACATATTCATTCAGACCACGTTGACGTTTTAATATAAAATCCGGTTCAAATGAATCACCTAATAAACGACGACCAGGTAATTTTAGATCAGACTGAATACGACGTAGCTAAATAATAATAATAATAATAATAATAATATTTAATTACTAAAACTAAAATCATTATTAACCTTGTCATTTAATGTTTGAAATTCTTTATAACGTTTCCATAAATCCCATTCTTGACCATTATAATTAACAGATATTTTATATTTAGTAACTTTCCCATCATTTTCTGTACTTGTTTGAGCATCAACAACGCGAAGTGCTAATGGTCCTGTTATACCAGTTTTTGAGTTGCTGTTCGCCGTCTCACTACTCATCTTTTCTTTAGACACGAGGAAAAAAACAATGAAACAATACTCAGGTAAAGCAACAAATAAAGGACAAGACAAACGAAACTACGAATATTATCATCATTATTGACAATGACAACAACGATAATGATAAGGTGCAAGTAAAAATAAAAGACGTAAAAGAAAAAAAGCACTAAAAATGGTAATCATTGCCTTGCACGAGAAAGATTAGATATATTAACCCTTTAGTTACGGATCACGTATATATACGTTTTGAATTTTTTCACATATTATCATCATTACAATATCATTTAGATTCTATCGAAAGGACTCCTCTCTTTTTCTCTTATCTTGGCAACATTATTGCGTGATCATCCTGCATTGCTGTGTGTTTATGTGCTCTCTCTTACGTTCTAGCATGCTTGTTTCTTACATTCTACCTCGCTCTAGTAAATTCTCGTATATTTTCTTTTTTTTTGAGGGTATCAACATTGAACGCATCTATACAATTCAAAGCGAAGCATAAGAAAACTATTCAATTTGGAGAATTTCGAAGGGAATTGATTCGGTAATTGATTGAAAGACACCCTTACCCTCAACATGCAATTAGTCGTCTGATTACCTTGGATAACCCTGTACGTCCTACTGCACGTTATTTGACGTCTCTAGTCCCAGAAATACCAACAGGAAAAAGTGCACAAAGAGCTTGTATAGTTTGTAATCATACAAGCAGACGCGAGAAAAAGCGTAGGGATGCACGTTATCAGTATGACATTTGTAATGTTGGACTTTGTGTGATATATTGTTTTGAAGATTATCGTACTTTAAAATACTTCCATATACTAATAAAGGTTATTGGAGACTCTTTTAGAACGAAAAGTAAAAGATTCATCAAAAAAAAACCTGTAGCCAAAGGGTTAAGAAGAATGTGAAAGACTCAAAAGAAACAGAGTTAGTGAGAATTTTCTTGCGCAATCCTCTCGAATGTGATGTCAAAAAAAAGGAAGTACGTTATAGAATATTGTATGTCACTATTCTAATGTAACTAAAAGAAACCAATGTAATGGTACAAAATCATTGTTTCAAACACACATACAGACTGCAAATAGAACAATGACACGTCAGCCTGCCGACGATGCCCTTGACATTCACATTTTGCTGCTGATTGGAGCAGTAAAAGATATCTCTGAGTTGTTGGTAGTTACCTATCACTGACGCATAAATCCTTACTGGTAAATAAAGGGTGTGGATGTGAGTGTCGGTACGTGGATGTGTGAGTATGGGTGTCCGTGTGAGCGTGTCGGTGAAGAGAAGACCAACACCGGCACCCAAACCCACATCCGCACACCCTTTATTAAAATAGCTTCTCAGGTTTTTGTTAATTATAAATAAATAGCTATTCTCAATTCACTTTTATTTTTGAGACCAATGATTTTAATGTCGTATTTATTTGCCTATTTATATATGATAGGGCTCAGAGTATCATACATATCATTGTAATCTGTTTGCGTATTGCTGAGTCTTGTTGTTATTTCTTATTAACAGTTGCATAGGGTGGATGAAAGTGGATAAGAACACGAAGAAACCTATACTCTCTTTTTCGAATTTTGATTAATATCTGTGCGCACAGAATAAATACCAACTTTTTAGGGCTCTTAAGAACGAGAACATTAATATGAATATAATATACATTATCAAGCTTCATTTAGTCTTTAAAATCTCTCAATGAGAAGAGTTACTGAATTGGAAACGTACTTCTTCCAATGTACATATTTACATATATGCAATGGATGAGAATAGGCATTATTTTTTACCAAATTTCAATAACCTACTTCCGACGAAAAAAGCATATAAGGAACTCATTTGCTTAGAGAGAACTAAAACCAAACCTCGCTTTTGTTCGTGGCTTCAATCTATCAAGAATACTTTCTAACTGCTTTTTTATAAGTGAAACCGTCTGTTCGATTTCGCGGTATGACTATGACTAAACTCGAAAATACATCAAATCCTCAAGAAATTCTCTCTCTATTTCGTCTGTCTATGAGCATCGTATTTTGGAAGTTATAAGTTTTCTAAATAAATAACACAGAACGAAGTTCAGTAATATGAGATGCAGAAACAATCGATCGTCTCTGAAAAGAAATTTTTAAAGACAATGGATGGTATCTTTAATGAAAATTGAAAATAAAATATTTCCTCCGAATTCCTCATCTTTTTTTTGGTTATGTTACTATAGACATTCTATGAAATGAATCATTTTGATAGTGCGTGAAGTTTCTGAAAACTTTCTAAAAACGGAAGGACAGGGCAGACCGATTACAATTTTTAGTTCAATATATGTCAATGTATAATAGCCACTAAATTAAGAGGATAACCTGAAATTTTTAATCACACATTGATGATAATTTTAGAATGAGCGAATGTAAGTATTTAAATAATTGACATCGTATGATGACTAATAAAATATCAAACTATTACCATGTCTGTAGTGGTTATACAGAAGGTGAGTTTTGTGAAAATCCTTATTACTATGTAAAGTATTCAATGTTATCATCGATCTTAATTGATATTCTGTTGAAAGAATTAGCTTTTACTAGAATCTCATTAAAGATTCTTTTTATTCTCATATTCTCTCTTCTAACAGTTCTATCGTTTATTAACCCCTTAACTGTGAAATTTTTTTAAAGTTACATAGTGAACTTTTCATGAACTAACTTTTGATACACAGGAATATAATGGAATAATCGATTTGAAACATCAGCATTGGTGGAGTGATTTCTAGTAGGTGCAGGATGTTACAGTGACACAGAGCATATAAAGAAAACAGAGGTAAGAAATTGTAGGCTTCATCTTTTCCATAAAGATTGCTTTACCGAGTATATTCGTCAATAACAGTTAAGGGATTAATAATTTATTAACTCTTACAGCATGTTTTCTAAAAAAAACTATGTATTACAGTGTGTAGACTCTATATAATACATTATTCTATCTATAGTTTTTTTGGTGTAGCGTTCTTAGAAATTTTTACAATTGTAGTCTTATTTTACAATAATAAACTAAAGAAGTATCCAGCAATATTTTGTATACTCATTTCAACGTTTCTGAGTCTAATACATGATATATGCCTATGGCCTGGTGCATTTATAGCTGCTGAGTGTTTATTAATTGAATTTTTCCATCGTAGTCTTTATCGTACACGGAAGTATTCACTTATTTTTTGAATTATTTTATCCCTATTCCTTAGTTCAGAGAGTGTAATAAAAGCTTTTGCACGTTCTGTCAGTAAAACTCCTGTACTTTCAACGACATCCTACGTCTGTTCATTTCATATTTTTTCAAATAAAAATTTAGAAACAACTTATACAGTGATACGTAGCATCTATACAGATTTTGTGATACGGTTGTTATTAAGTTTTTCATTGATTGTTCTCACATTAACACATATTATTCGTCGTAAAATCACTTGAACTGACTTAGAGAGAAATTCATGGCAATCACTAATAACACAACAAATTTTAAAGCACAAATATTTCTCTATACAACCACCAGTTATTATCATTTATACGCTTCCGGAACAACTACTGACAACTATTACCGGAACATATTGCATAGAGAAAAGGAGGTAAAGGGCGTGAGTGTATAATTCACGACACCCGCACCAACATCCCACACACCCACAGCCATACCCACATCCACACCCACCAACATCCACAGCCATACCTACACCCACACCCATACACCAACACAGACACAGCCACACCTACATACCCACAACCGCATCCACACCCACACCCACACCCACACAAATACATCCACACTCATGCCCACACCCAGACTCACATCCACACGCACACCCATACACCGACACTCACACACCCAAGCTCGCACCCACACAAACACACCCGCACCCAGATTCAGACTCACAGCCGTACCCAAACCCACACCAACATCTACAATCACAGCCACACTCATCAACATCCACACACACTGATACCCATGTGCACACCCACACGCATCAACATTCACACCCCACATTCACACTTATACCCCACACCCCGCGCCCACACGCATACCCAACACTCACACTCATATACCCACGCCTAACCACGCCCACATACGGACACCGACACCATATCCACAGCCACATCCTGGTAAAGTTTTCAAACTAATAAAAACATCTAAATCTTCTTAGAAGTCTCTTCTGTTGTTTCTAATTCAATAGTACAGCAAAAGAACTTATGGAGAACTATCTTATAGAGAGATAAAAAGATGAATGCTATGCTATAGCAACAAAACATTATCTCACATATGATTAAATGTAACACATACGCTTCACCAGTATGATTTATAATTACATGCGTTGTTCCCTTTTAAGATGATTTGAAAAAAGTCCTACACTGTTCATTTTTTTTTTGTGACTCTAGAGTAGTTTTGGTATTATTGGGATGCCTCCAACAGATAAGAGACATTGAGAACTGTATATGGAGAAGACAGAAGCGAAAACGAAAAATCTAAAGGTGTTGCGTCAGGGAAGAGTACACCTTCTACAGTACATTTGTAGTCTAGTATCGGTACTAAGTACAGACGGACTTAAGTAAAATATACTTAAGTGCAAGCACAATGTACAATCCCTAAATAAAAAGTACATGTACTTTTACTGTGAAAAGCGCACTTGTACTGACGATTTTTACATACTAACGAGGGAAGTACCCGAAGTGTTCCTTTGATTTAGAGCTCATGTTTTGCTCACAAGTAGACCTCAATGTCAATAGCTAAAGCTTAAAAGAATTCGTGCCCATGAGCTGTTGAAACTGACTTAGGGCCATTTCACTAGATTTTCGATTTCAGGCACGGCATTCATGGGAAAATCAAACGATCATATTTTCACCTGAAATTTTGCCCATAATGAGGCCCTATAGCTATTAGAATGTCCTAAAAATTTCAGCCAAAATGGATGCTTCATCCTTAAGATATCGGATGGCTAAAAAACGATCATATGTTGCGGAACAGTCAGACAAGCGAACAGT